TTATTATCATTATAGGAAACTAGTAAATGGCTGGAGAAAGAGCACCCCAAAAGCTGACTTCAGCTTCTGGGTGCAAAGACGGGGCTCCTACCCACCCCCAGGTCTGGGATCTTAGAGCCTCTCCAAACCCACAGAGGAGCAACACCAGCCTGGTCCCCGCTAGTCAAGGCCTGGCCTGGACCACGCCTTCTGCCCCACACACGGCCCCGCCCTGGGCTCGTGCGTGGAGAAAGGGTCTGACATTCCTCAAGGCGTCTGTTTCCGTCTGGTGGCCACGCTGCATAGTTATCGATGTCTACCGCCCCCCAATGGTAGAGAAGTGTGTGAAGGGCGTCCCCCCAAAGGAGGCCCTGTTGGGTGGGATGAGGAGCCCAGTCCAATGCCTGCACTTCAAGGCAGGCAGAGGAGCTGTAAGGACCGCCCTGCCCCCATCCCATGTCGCTGTGGGGCGGGGTGGGGAGCACCCCACCACGTGCCCAGGCCAGGCCCACACCTGCTCTAGCTGTTGGCTTCAGACAACAGCCTCTCTGAGCCTCAGTCTACTCCTCTGAAAACAGGGCTCAGTCCTTACCTCCCGGGGTTGCTGTGAGTTACCAGGGTCACCTGTGGATGCCCAGTCTCTGAGAGGTCCCTCCCCACCTTCCCCAGACGCCCTGGCATAGTCACCATGGCCCCCAGGAACGTAGGGGTCCCCAGGCAATGTGAGCCTGTGGCTGGGCTGCTGCCCCACCTAGCGTGGATCCCCAGGCCCTGCCCCGGACAGGGGCCAACGGGGAAGGTTTCCTTGCCTCAGCCAGGCCCTGGCTCCCTCCCCCCCGCCCCCGGCTGCTCAGCAGCCAGTTGTCAGGAAGTCATTGCCACCTTCCCCAGCCCGCACCCCCACCGGGCCCAGTGCTGACACCCATTTGGCAAAGAGGTCGGAAAAGCCAAAAGCCGCTGACTCTTCCAGACCCTGAGTTCATTGACTGGTCAGGGACCGCCAGCCACACGCTGACCATGTGGTCAGAGGAGGTTTTCGGAGTGAACCTTCAGGCTTTCTGAAGTCAACCCGCCCCCGAGACACTCCTCCAACACACACACACACACACACACACACACACACACACACACCCCTCCATACGCTTGCCTGGACCTATATACCCGTGTTCCCCACACACGCATATCACACTGTACACACACTGCCTCCTCTCCCCGCAACATAAATAGTCCTACAGGCACAAGATAACTCCCTCCTGTGTATCAAATGTTTCATACAGCCACCCGCCCACAAGGGCACACTCCTACACATATGTGGCTGCAAGCACAGCCTGCACGCTCACACGGGCACACGGGCACTCGGAACCTCCTCACACACCGATGGGAGCTGCTGGCCACCACTAGCGGGCTACCCACGGGCAGCTTCGGCCTCTCCTGACTCACCCCGGCCTGTGCCCTGGACTCGGGCTTCGGGCTGGGCGGGTCTCTGAGCCCCTGGACCAGAATCCCCGGCAACCAGAGCGGAGACCATCCCAGCCAGACCTTCATTCTTATTTGTGGAAGCTGTGCCCAGAGAGGGCAAGGGGACGGTCATGTCCAAAATCCTCCCGAGTGCTTCGTTCGCGGTGTCTGAGCGCATGGCACGAAAGGAAGCACCCGGACTCCTTCCTCCCTCCCGCTGCCCCCCTCAGGCGCCTGGCTCAGCTCCTCCCTGCCCTGGGCAGAGCCGGCCACGCAGCTGGTCCCAGTCCCAGGGCTTCCTCCAGGAAGACCGCCCGGATTGGGTGCCGTGTCAGGCTTTCACCCTCTGCCCTGGGTGCAAGGTCACTGGAAGCTGCAGGGGAGGGTGCCCCCTGCTGAGGAAAAGCCTCCATGGGCCTTGGCTGAGTCCCACCCGCCCCTGCAGCCCGGCCCCTTGCTCCCTGCCTCGGTCTCCCTCCCAGGACTCAAGACCCTCAGCCTACATGTGGTTCCATCACGGGGCCCCAGGCTCAGGGGGCTGACTCTGTCCCGAGTCTGAGGGGTAGGGATTTCTGCCTGGGACGGTGCCTGGCACCCAGTAGGCGCTCAACAAAGTGTGTCTGGATGTTCCTCCTCCGGCTTCTCACCGGGAACCCGGCGCCCGGCTGTTTCCCATCAGCCAGGAGCTGGGTCTGCCTTGTGGACGGGTGACCTTGGACCTGTCTGTCCCCCCTGAGCTTCAGCTGCCACCTGGGAGGGAGGGGCTGACGCGGGGAGAATGGGAGTCTCCGGTGATTCCCGGGACCATGCCTGGGGGGGGAGGGGGGCGGGCAGCCAGGCCCCAGCACTGCCCCCTCCTGCTGGCTTTGAGAGGGCACCCTGTGGGCAGAGCCAGGCGGGAGCCCCGCGTGGTGAAGAAACCTTCCTGCCAGAACAGACCCAGGCCTTCAACTTGGGAAGCCACAGGACAAAAGGAGTTC